CTGAATGCTTGTTCGGCTGCAACAGTAGAGACCAGGATCGAAAAAATATCCATTGCCAGTCATGTTAGGATCGGCCAAGTTAATGCTCGTGCCCTCCACCACTCAACCAAATCAAACATTTCACTACTGTCTATAACTAAGTCCTCACTCAGGTACGCCATTAACTCGTTGAATCCGCCGTTATCTCTTGATGAAAATCCACTCCCAGATTCTTCTTGACCTTGGGTCGTCATCGTCGTCTTCTTCTTCTTCTTAGACAACCCGAAAACATTCAAGAATGAATGCGGATTGTCGTCTCATTGTTGCGGTTGTTCAACACGAGGTGTGTTTCTAAACCTACTTTCGTAAGAGATATATAGAGAATATATTTTTTCCTTTATAATAGGAAATTGGTCAGTAGTGTCGATAGCTAAAAATTCACCTAAGTTATCTAATCCACTTTCTAAACCTTCTAATTTTAATCTAGGGTCAAAAATAACACTGAAACCATACAACATGGGTAATTTAGACCAATATTTTTTAAACTTCTTTTCCATAGAGGCGATAGGAACTCCTAAAACCTCGTGTGTCCTAAATTAACTAAATAAAATAGACATCCTTAAAAGCTCTCCTAACGCTAATGGTGAAGTTGGGTAATAAGTTCCACTAAGCTTTAAGGTAACTTCGTGAAATCTACCTAAAAAGTTATACAAGAGTTCGGCAATTTGTCAATCAGTTTCATCTATAAATGCTGCTCCTAATTTTGCACAAACATAATTTGTTATAGCATCTTTATAGGGGATGCATTGTTCAAGCATTATCAACCTCCTCGAATGTGTTGAAGTGCTCCCAAACTGTTGAGGTGCGCTTGTATTTTTTCTTAGAATTTGCAAAACTTGCACTAGCACTACCGCTTGCCTCTCCTCCACGGCCACCAATGCCACCACCATTACGTCCCCGATCTCTAGTACGTCCACCAAGGGTCGAATTTGCAGTTTCATCAGCAACTCTTTCCATAGTTTGCGATTTCTGTGTTTGAAAAATATTAAGAAATTGCCCTTCTTCGATGTTGAATTGGGCATCATTCCAAACTAAGCTAGGGGATAACCCCTGCGTTGAGAGAATTGTTGTGAGATTCACTATTCCGTTTCAAGATAGTGGATTAAGCTAGGGGATAACCCCTACCGTGGATGTAGGATCTTTGATCCAAACTAAGTAAGGGGCTGTTCTTTTGTCATTTTTGAGTTAGGTGACTTGAGTGTAGATTTTGTATTGAGTTTGAGTTATAATTTGAGTTGAAGTTGTAACTTGAGTTTGTGTTTAGATTTGACATTTTTTGAGAGCTTTTCACTGTAGCAGAAAAAGTTAGATGTGACATTTTCTGAGAACTTTTTACTGTAGAAACCAAAGACTGAAAACTCGAATCGGTGAAATGAACGAGGCCTTTGAGTTTGTGTTTGAGTGAGTCAAAACTTGAATTTGTATTTAAATAGTATTTTAATAAAAACTCAATGCTGATAGAAAATTTTAATAGGGTCTATGGGTGGGGTTTTATTCGTCTTTTCGTTGTGAACGCATAGAAAAAAATCAGCTCAATCAGAATTAAAATGAAAAAGTTATAGTATTTTTAAGAATAGAAAAAATAATGTTCATGAATTTGAGTTCGAGTTTCTGAACTCGAGTTGAAGGGGAAACTTGAACTCGAGTTCAAATTCGAATTCAAACTTAAAAGAACATGAACTTGAATAAAGTTGTAACTCGAGTTACTTTTTTTGAGTTTTTAACTCAAGAAAGGGGCTGCCGAATAGCCCTTAAATCTTGCGTCTTTTATTTGTTCTTTGATCAGATCTCTTTTTTGTGTTCTTGTGTTATTCTTGGTCTTTGAAATAATACACATATATATATGGACAAGTTTGTAATAGTTATCTTTTTATCAATGGTTACAATCAAATAGAGAAATTTGATGACGTGACGTGATAAAAATTTAATTTTAATTTTTAAAAAATTAAGAACACATGTGCCCCATTGGATCTTATTTTCCCAAATTTCGAATATGGTCTAATGAGACTACATGCCCCTTAATTTTTTGGAAATTAAGAAACTACTTTATATGCTCTTAAAAATTGTAATATTATCAATATTATCTCTTATTTGCCCTTATTTATTTTTTTTTTAATGTCATTATGTATATAGCCTCCAAATTGTTAAAATTTTTACATATTTCTACCTAATTTCTTACTCAATATTTATTGGATGTAGAATCTCTGATCCGAACCAAGCAAATCTTGCGTCTTCTATTTGTTCTTTTATTGGATCTCTTCTCCGTATTCTTGTGCTATTTGTGGTCTTCGAAACATATAGGGCATGGATAAAGACCGTCGGCCGTTTGAGAAACGGCCACACGCGTCCGCTTGTGGTTGGCGTCAAATTCCAGCATATTACACGTGTCCCGATGATATGAGATTGCGCAGAAGGCCAAACGTCCGAGTAAGAAGATTGAACCGGCTATTACCGGTGAAGAGTGTACTGTGCGCATGGTTTATTCAGAAATAAACACAGACTGGAATGCATTATTGTCAATTCAGCCCTTATTTAATGAGATATTGATTATCACGGTATGGCTTGGTTGACGTGTCAAACGCGTTGGAGGAGGAAAGGAAGGGCCGAAGGGATGAGATATTGATTGTCACGGTATATATTTACAATTTAAAACAACTAAGAATTGAATATTGTTTAGTGTATAATTACCACTGAAAATGTTTCTTTTAATTAGGTTCGTTAATTATTGCGCCTTGCAACATTGGGGTTGCCTGGCGCAAAGGGATACTTCAATACAAACTATTTGTGTAAGATATCAAAAAAAAAAAAAAAAGAGAGAGAACTTATGAACATACGGAGAAGGCTATTTTACTAGATATTAGAAATCGTGTTTTAATTGTTGAATTGATTTTTTAATGGTACCATATATAGTAGAAATAATTATGTGTCACACGCCTTAAATTTTGAATATGGACATGCATTCTATGTGTATATATATATATATTATAGATTTGAATTGGGTAAATGTACCGGTTTAACAAATTTATATCGTTCTAACTTATAGTTTTAGAATTTTTTTGGGTAGGGCATCCTTGCTGATAGAGTCAGTTGTTGATCGTTAGATATGGTCAAAATCACATAAGATTAAAAAAGATATATAGAATAGATAAATTTTTAATACGGATCTGATGGGAAAAAGTGGATAACTAGCGGTAGTTTAATTTTTTCTAGTCCTACAAAAAAAAATTCTCTTTTTTTGAAATGATAAAGAAGAATTTCCTTTTTTTTTTTTTTTTTTTTCAAAAAAGAGAACAAAACATTCATTCAACCACAAAAAATATTCGTGCGGGTGACAGTCATGTATTGAGCATACTAATAGATGAGTGATGAGCAGTAGGAAGCTAGCCATACATTTACGATTTAAAAAAACTTAGAATTGAAATAAATATTGTTTAGTGTATAGTTACCATTGGTTTGGGTACCAATTATTTAAATTAAGAATAAGACATTCTCTACCGTAGAACACCTAAAATAACTACCGGTAGAACACTTTTTTTATCATTAGATTAATATTTTAACGGTTCGATCTGCATTAAAAATAATTTTGTGTGACGCGCTGTAAATTTTTCATATAAACCTGTACATGATAGGCTCAATAAAAAATGAGATTAATTTTTTTATGGTT